CCATAGTTTCTATTCTCGTTAAGCGACTCGATTACCGCCGCTGGCAGATCGTACTGTTTATGCGTGTTACAAGCTTTATAATCTGTCTGCCAGAGGATGATTCCTGAGCTCGCGTTCCTATATTTGAGTTGCCTTATTTTCTGTGATATTCAGCCTTATCAATTGCAACCGTAGAGTGCCCCTTCCCCCACTGTAGGGTGACAATATTGTTTAGTTATTGCATCATCAGATTTTTTCAACATTCGGCTTTAAAAATCCTCATCTTGCGTTTGTTTGGTGCAGTAAGGTCGAGGCGTGTTGCTGCATGGCGTTTTTGCACTCATCGCCTGCCTCACGCTTCAGGAACACCGATTCATCTGATGCAACAAAGTCTTCTAGTGGAGTATTTACTGTGCTGGACTTCGCATTATAGGATAGAAACGCTAGTTGTCGCTGAGCGAGACGATGTGAGGTGTAGTTGTGGACCAAGACACTGTCAGAAGAGGGCTGCTTTGGCGGACTTATTTTCTCAAATTTTCCTGACAACTGCTCATCACGCAACTTACGATGACCCCGTGCACTGTCGACAATAGCCGCTTTGAGGATCGCCAGCCCGTGTGCTGAAGAGAGCGACTGTCAAGTTCACCACTGCTGTTCAATCATCCGGTGGTAGTTGTGAATGCTAGCTTGGCAGTCTCGCCTACATTTTGGGTTGGAATGGTAATTTCGATAAAGAAACCACGGGCATATGTGTCGAATCAATTTCTTGATAGGAACACCGTAAGGAATGGCAGCAACCAGGACAATACTTATTTTATCTACTGCACCGTTCTACGTGTTCACGATGCTTGTCAAAGTTGCGTCTCACCTTACTTTTAAACATAATGGCTATATGCGGCCAAGGATCGCAATAAACAAAGACAAGATAGCTTCCTGATATCAGATGCTCTTAGAAAACCGGTAGTAGATGCCGGAATCAACGGTGGTCTCGAACTTGCTGACTACCAGTATCACAACTATAGTCCCAGTCTAAAATTATTTTACACCTCGAAGGTCCTCTGCTTTCTTTCTTGCGCATCTAACCGCCTACAAACGACCTCTTAAGCCCATTCTCCATGACGATGACAATGCCATCGATGGTATCCTTCTTAATGCTGAGGTGGACATGCTCTAATAAGGGCAGGTCCGTGGAGTGACCACTGGCATTTGCAAAATATTCCTTTGGTCTTTTGCCATTGTTTCAAAACAGGCATTCCGAGGTCGGTCTACCCGAAGCAAAAAGTAGCCTAACCTACGCACATGCCTTACGGACGCATCATGACTAAGAATATTACACAGAACTACTTATGTTAGGAAAGTTCTAAAAGAAACTTTTCGATGCAAAATGGCTGTAATGCGCATTCGCCAATCATATAATTATTATCCAGCCGCAGCTTGTCGATAGTATTGTTTATGCGGATTACAAGCTTTAACAACTCACTGACAGAGGGTGATGCCTACACTCGCTTGTTCATCATGAGCTTTGCATTGGTTTGTTGGATACGTAGCCCTATCATCTGAGAAAAACTAAGTGCTCACCGCATCGTGGCTCTTAAACCAAAACGTCTAGTAAATTATTCGTTTAGAATTATGAATGGACAGCCGACTTATTTGATAGTGTGCTGATCGATTTTTTCTTCTGGAAATGTCACACCATGCGAAGAACGCAATAATCGATCGGGTTTCGCAAACGTTTCAGACCCCAATTGAACCTCGCCGTGCTTTGGATAAGGAGTAATCGAGAACGTAAAACCCTGCGTATGACCACCGGCGGTAACTGTGGGCATGCGAGGAAGCCGCGCACAAGCGAAACAGCAAGACCTCTGTTGAAAAAACCGTGCCCTTTATCTTCTGCTCTATTCCGGGAGGTATCAGGAAGCAAGGCATTATTAGACAGCCTAAAGCCGAGAGTGCATCGCGACGCATTATATGCCGAAGGAGGTTATTTGCCGAATATACCATGTCTCAAGCAAATCAGGGGATTAGGATTAGATTAAACTATTGGTCAAACTTAACCTGGATGCAACCCAGACCTCCGCCTTAGCTCTAGCTAAGGGGATTGGCAAGGAAAATAATCAGATTAGCATATTGCGTTTTATTGGAACTCATTCTGCCGTTTTAGGCGGGTTTAGTCCTTCAAAAAAGACAATATATACTGTACGAATGCTTTTTAACGATTTGGGATGCGCAGGTAAAGCTAACAACTTTTTGCTAACAATATCTGCAATAAAGCTATTTCGCATTCTAAATTGCAGTAAGTCACTTCTTCATCAGATAACTTGCCCGAAGTGAGGTATATTAAAAGTCCGCTAGAGCATCATGGTATCAGGACTTACAATGATGCTTCTAAATAAGTAGGCGACATATAACATACTCCTTGCAGAAGCTCGTGAGTCCTATATGGCATTTGCATAACGGCATAACAGAATGCATGTTTTCCCTTATATGTAAAGTATGCTGTTTGGAGACTGCGAACCCTGAAATTGATTATCACGCCCGATCAAGTACAAAAATACTGCGGAATTGAGAATCGTCTTTGATTACCAGAATAAAACCTTTACTTGATTAAAGTAGTCGAAGACTGTACGGTGTATTATTAAATGAACATGTAAACGTGACATTTTTATGGAGGTTTTTCGATAAAATTAATTTTGAATTTTCAACGAGATCAAACGTCGACCGGGAAAATGCCTTTTACATATGTGGTAGCTTTTTAACAAGGGTGCTTTTACAAGAAGAAAAATAACCTAATTAGCTGCGTGCACTATCGCCTATACTAATTTATTCTCATTGGCATGCAAAATGGCATATTTTGAGACCAGAAATCTATTTCGCATGCTGCGGTTAAATCGTTGGAGGACATACTAAACCTCAATGCCAGTTTACTTGTAAAACGATCCCCATTATTACTAGATCAGTTTTCAGGACTATCGCAGCACTTTCAGCATATTTTTGCATTTCTGACGTGTGTCTAATGTTTTGCTGATTGCAAAACATCAGTTAGTACACCGCTGGGTACCCAAATTTCCGCCCGGTCTTGCACACGGGAATTCTCGTAGCCAAGCCTCTTGTTCCTTCTTCGCCACATGAAATACATTTCAGGTGCGCTGAGTGACTTGGATGACTAGAAGTGCCTGAAAATAAAATGTACTGCAGAGTGACTAATTCTCTTTTATATTCTATTCTTACCATTCATCACCCACACCTAAATCTCAATTAGGTACTCTAAATACGGACCTTACAGCAACAACGACGGCCTGGCAGTGAGCTGAGGTCAGACGATCGCCATATGGGTAAGCCACGGAGGGAGCAAACGCCAATCCCCCGCCATTAGGCAGGATAGAGTTCGTGTATCAGGCATGCCCCGTAACACAAGACAAATGGCGGGCCAGAACAGCTCTGGGCTTGCCAGGAATAAACACTTCATCATTCTGAGGATGGGAATGAGGAAGTTTCTGAAACGTCAGCACAAATACACTGTGGTCCATGGAATTGCCTATTCCGTTTATTCTTCCTTCCGGATGATAAACGGGATACACATGATTGCGTGGGTGAACAGGCGCATTGTTGACGCCTGGCCTAGAAGCAGAGACCGTGAATCCATGGAAGCAATGTACTCAGATGAGGCATGAATGAATCGGCAGATCCAAATAGATGTGCTGTATAGCCACAGTGGTTTATGTTCCATACCGATTATCAATACGCTGGTAAATTTAACAACATTTTGCATGCAATATCTACAAATGTTATTTTAAAGTTGTGAAAATCGCCATAACTATGTTCAGAAGAGACAGTGGCGAGTAAACGTTCCTTTCGGTAACTTCTCATCAGACCAATAATGTACATAGGTCGGAGTACAGCGAGTTTAAATAATCGATAAATATTAGTTTTTAAATTCCCAGCTGAGCAAGAGCGGAAGGGCACAGAAAGTTGTATGTGGTTAATCAACTTTTGACCACGGAAAGCGCGGAGCTTGAACAAAGTGCTTTTGGGCGCATAGGGTCGGTTTTCGTAGCCTGATGGTGGCCGCTTCTGTCGTTGCTAATAGGCGCTGGCCCAGTGGCTTATGGTAGCTTTTAATATTTCATTTTTTTATTAAAAAATCTCCATGAAATATCATCTTCACTACACGTTCAAAAATTATTCATGCCGTTTTCGAATGTATTAATCAAGGAAAAAGTGTATTTTGTACTTCAACACTGACGTTGAGCAACACTTATAACGCAAAGTATTCGAGGTCCATCCGATGTAAACTGAGTTATTCCCATTTAACTGTTCACCTCTGTGTGTTCATCTAAATGGGCCACGCGCAAGATGCGCTTGACCTGCACGAAAGCAATATCAGAATCTGGCAGGCGTTATCATATTTCACGCTGCAAAAAATGTCATCATTTTGGGGAACGGTGGTGGACTCAGATTCCAGCTAATGCCAGGCACACTGAGACCCCTCCCATTCCCCATTGTTGTTGCTGGTTAAAATCCTGGTCATTTGATGTGCGAACCTGGGGGTTTGGAGATAGGCGCCAAGATGTGGTCTCAACCGTACCGCTCACGTGCGCCCTCGCCCGCCTCCGGTCTTCTTGACGGGACTCACCGGGCTCAGCATGCCCAGGTGGGGGAGGATGTGAGAGTGCAGTAGATTCTGCTCAAGTCTGTTGTCATTGCAAACTAATCCACGCACAAGTCGCCGGCCTCGCTCCATCTGATGCAGAGCTACCGGGTCAAAACGCGGCCATGTTCTTACCGAATTCTAGATCAATATCACTAAATGCAGGGCTTCCGACTTGCAAAACCTAACTCCGCAAATTGCTCACATAAATCAGGTGGCACTAACTTCACAATGTTTTTTTTGTGCTGCAATCAACAAAAGAAAAATAGGTGCAAAATTTAAGTTCGTCAATTCAGAAAAGCCTTTCATGTGGACGCAAGATACTAGCATATTCAAGTTAATGCTTCCCTTGTGGGTGAACATTATGCTAATGTTAGCCGAAGAGGTAGTCGACGGGTGCAAAGGAAATTAGTTCTTTCCTAAGCTTCTTCGGCCTAGAGATATGCATCGATGGACGCGGCTCAACGTAGACATCCAACTTTGTCATAACCATGCCTAACCAGGCATCGTCAACTGGAAATTGTAGCGTGAAGTACATGGCCAAGGCGATTTCCTGAAGAGTGTCGGCACCGATGACAAGGAATGCGCCGGATGCGTAGGGCGCGAAGTAGGGCCAGGGCACTTGGTGTTTAGATAGGATCCATTTTTCAAAACCTGGCGAGACGAGAGTACGATATACTGGACTACTCGCCTGCTGCATGCCCCACGTCACTCTTCGAATCTGTGTGTCCGAGAGTGCCATCAGTTCATTCTTTAGGATGGTTGCATTAAAGGCATAGTAATCGTCCAGGAGAATGAATACAGGAGGTCGTTGTTGGTAGGTGAAATGAGGCCGACAGAAACAAGAGGCCCATTGGAAGGTATGGAACAATTTAAGACTGAGGTTATAGTCGGTATCCTCGTAGTCACCCAGTAGGAGGTCACCGTTGGCTTGAGCTTCTTCTGCCAGTTTTCTGAGAACTGCCGGCCCTTCATACCGCATCTCCTCCAGCGACTCGCCCGCCCGGCCCGGCCGTGAGATGTTCAAACTGTCGGGCTGTAAGTACCGACCCCCGATGCTTCGGGGTAGTCCTACAGAGAAGACCATGGCCATGCGGAAAGCACGTTCACGCTTGACTTCTTTGGCATAGGTTCTCCGAATGCGATCACGAACTGCAAAGTTGTAGACGGCTGACTTAACTACCACGATGGCATCCAGAGCTTCTTTAACGGCTATTCCTGGCACGCAGACAGTCGAGCTGATGTTGAGAAATCTGATGGTCTGATTAAATATGGGAGCCTATAAAATGGAGAGGAGGCGACTCAGCCAGATGAGACACAGTGCACTGTGCAAAAAGCGTTAAACTGATGAGTCGTATAAGTAGATCGTCACTGAAAACGTTAAATGGAGGGGATTCGTCGAACTGTCACACCGTAAGAAAACTTTGCTCTTTAGAAGCCTTACCAGCAGTTGGGACCGGAAGCACAAAAAATACGCAAACAGAGCACCAAGTTACTATTTCCAAAATGCATGAATAAACGGAGAGATATCTCTTTAAACCTCGAGAGCAGTATTTTATCAGCATAAATGTCTACATGTAGCAATTTATACAGACATAATTGCTAACTAATCGCCTGATGTACGTTAAGCAGTTATGATTTCCAGAAAATACAAAAAGTGGCAAGTTGTCACACCATCAGGTATTATCCTGCTTACACTTAACTGTGTTGCGCAGAGCCAATATTCCATTGAATTGATAACGGGAATGAGACTTTACGCACAACATCTCCAAGAACTACAGAATAATAGTTATAGGCCGTGCATTCCTGGTCTGTCAGTTCACTATACTCCGAGAAATTTCACCAGTTTATTATGCTACGCAATTTCTTCAGGCTCTCTGACGATTACCCACATTTTCGATTTTTCACTCTAAGTTTTCTTGTACACCTGAAGGTTTCTGTACTTTTGTTTAAACCAGCTAAAAGACACACCCCTGGTTCCAAATTGTGAAAAACCGTGACTTTTGTGTCCGTCTGCTGCTTGGTGTCATTGTTTCGTTGATAACACTCATTTTATTCAATCGTTTTTAGTCAATTGGCAGGAAACTTTTATATCTTTTGGCCTTATTTAACTGGACATAAATTCACCAGAGCAACAAGCCTTATTCACTAACTTCGTCGCGGATTTTACCCAGCACATTAACCCTACGGCCAACGATTGTGGAGAAGGCTTTATTTATCGTGAGTCTGTAAAATTATTTGCCTTTTGTCGTTTTTCTTATACTCATTTTTCCATCGTTATTTTTCTTGTAAGAAACGCAGCATCCCCCACTTAGAGTTAGGTATTTATTTTCGTTTGTAGTTTAATTGCCCTGTACAATACATTCTACAGGATAAGAAATGCGCTTCATTACAGAGCACCAAAAGCCGAAACACACCAGTTATCCAAGTCTAAAAAGGGATGACGACGTTAGACGCATGACTGGATTGACAAAAATCTCGACGACTTGCAGCGGGTAGCCATCATGGCCGGTCTGGCGTCATAATTCAAAGCCTCGCTGCCTCAAGGTCATTCACCTTTTTGCTGTGAGCTGTTCCAAACGCGCTGACCTGAAGTCACACGACCGACAGCTAGGACATACTTGCGTCCGTACAGCCGCAGCAGCCCATGCGGCCACTTGTACGCTCCTCTCCCATGCAAACACAAACTAAG